GCTTATACTAAGAGCTTTACTTGACCAAGGGTCACAAGGTTCATTTATTACTGAGTCCGCTGTTCAGTTGCTTGGTCTACCACGTACACCAATAAGTGGCTGGGTATCAGGTTTGGGAGATGGTCGTACTAGGATCAAACATATGGTTTCACTTCAGTTACAATCATGTCATAATCCACAAAATTCAATACAAGTAAATGCTTATGTTTTACATTCATTAACATCTTGCTTCCAGCTACTAATCTTGATAGCCCTAATTGGATTAAAATTTAAATTTAGCGGATCCTTCTTATACAATACCAGGTAAAGTAGATATTTTATTAGGTGCAGATATTTACAGCGAAATATTGCTTGATGGAATAATAAAACAGACTCAAGGCAATCTATTAGCTCAAAATACAATTTTTGGGTGGATTCTGTCAGGAAGAATATCCAAAGAAGTGGGTACATCGGCAAAGGATAAGCTTATTAGCATGCACGTACAGCTTAAGGAAGATGATTTACTTAGGCAATTCTGGGAGATTGAGGATGAACCGAATTTAATACAAAAGGAGATGACAAAGAGTGAAAAGTTATGTAAAGAATTTTTTGATACAACTACAGTGAGAGATGAGGAAGGGAGGTTTGTTGTAAGGTTACCTTTTGCTTCAGATAATCTAAAGTGCCAGTAGATATAGAGCTATTAAGAGAGTGAAAGTAGATATAGAGCTATTAAGAGATTATATCAAAGGATTCTCCAATGAGAGGTGTGAGTATAATAAAGTTTTTGAAGAATATTTGAGTTTTAATCACATGATACCAATATGCGAGAAAGAGTTAAATAGTGGAAAAAGCCTTTTATTTGCCTCACCATGCTGTAGTGAGAGAAGACAAGGACACTACAAAGGTGAGAGTTGTCTTCGATGCGTCAAGCAAAGGAGATAATGACGTGTCATTGAACGATGAGCTTCTCGTTGGGCCTAAATTACAACAAGATTTGAGGCACATATTAATAAAATGGAGAAACTATAAAATAGGCATTGTCGCTGATATTGTAAAAATGTATAGAATGATACGGGTAGCTGATAAGGATACTGATTTTCAGCAAATTGTTTGGAGATTTAATTTAACTGATTCTATAACACATTACAAGCTATTAAGGCTTACATTTGGCACACAGCATGTGCACCATATTTAGCTGTCAAATGTTTGCAAAGACTGGCTGAATTAGAAGAGACAAAGTATCCAGTAGCTGCAAAGGTTACGAAACAAGATTTCTACATGGATGACTTGATGACAGGATGTGAAACATTAGATGAAGCACTACAAATATATGTTGAAATGAACGGGTTATTGAAGTCAGGCGGATTTGAACTTCAAAAATGGAGTAGTAATGATGAAACGTTTTTAAAACATATCGGAAAGGACGGTCAACAAGATGATCAGTCGCTTCTTGTTAAATTTAATAGTTCTATTAAGGTTTTAGGAGTTAGCTGGAACAGAGAAACTGATGACTTTAACTATGTTTTAAACTTGCCTAACCCTAAAGAACCTGTTACTAAAAGAGAGGCATTATCCGTCGTAGCGAGATTATATGACCCTTTAGGTTGGATTGCGCCTGTAGTTATTAATGCCAAGATTTTAATTCAAAAATTATGGAAATCAGGTCTTGGATGGGATGATTGCCTGACGGATGATCTAGTTAGAGAATGGTTAATATACAGGGAAGAATTGAATGATCTTAAAGAGTTAACGATACCAAGATGGATCAATTATACTCGAAGTTCTAGAACTGAATTACATGTTTTTTCTGATTCATCACAACTGGATTTTGCAGCAGCTGTATATATACGAATTATAGATCAATCAAATAATGTTTATGTACATTTGGTAACAGCTAAGACCAAGGTAGCTCCAATAGTAAAGAAAATTTCTGTGCCCAGACTTGAACTATGTGGGGCAACAATAGCTGCTAAATTAATATTTGAAGTATCACAAGTAATGATGGTTCCAAAGGAAAATTTATTTGGGTGGACAGATTCAACCATAGTTCTGGCATGGCTTAAAGGAGGCTCAAGTAAATGGACTACTTTCGTAAGTAACAGAGTGTCTACTATATTAAGTATTTTAGATTTTGAGCAATGGGGTCATGTATCTACGGAATCAAACCCCGCGGACTGTGCTTCTCGAGGTTTGCAACCTAAGGACTTGATATTGATAACCCATCCATTGTGGTGGAGTGGGCCACAGTGGTTGTCACAAATTAAGTTTAACACAGAACATACAATTGTCGAAGATACCTGTGAAGAAATACGAATCAAATCTTTAACTGTTTTATCTAAAAATGAAGAGGATTTTATTTGGTTACGATTTTCATCATTATCGAAATTGTTAAGAATAATGTCGTACTGTAGAAGAATTTTGAGATTAAAATTACCAAAGAATGACCGACCAAGTTTTACCTAAATTTATAACACCGATAGAAATGGATGAGACTTTAGTAATATGTCTACGGCAAGTACAACAACTACGGCAAGTACAACAACTACGGCAAGTACGCGAATTTTTAATTGAAATAAAACAGTTAAGAATTGGACAATCTGTATTTAAGAAGAGTTCTTTACGCGCTCTTTGTCCGTTTTTAGATCAAAATGGGCTACTAAGAGTAGGAGGTCGTATAACACAATCAGACACAAGTTATGACATGAGGCATCCAATAATAATACCTGGTAAAAGTCATTTTACCAAGCTTATAATTAAAGATGCGCATCACAAAACTTTACATGGAGGTCCTCAAATTATGTTAAATTTTTTGAGGACAAAATACTGGATTTTACGAGCTAAAGAACGAGTTAAGAAATATTACCGGGAATGTGTTGTATGCTTAAGATATTGAAAGAAAAAGGCCATTCCTTTAATGGGACTGCTTCCACAAGCAAGATTAAAACCTAGTAAGCCTTTTAAGTCTACTGGCGTCGATTATTGTGGTCCAGTAAATATAAGATTCTCGCCTGGCAGAGGAGCTAAATGTTACAAAGGCTACATATGCATTTTCGTGTGTATGGTTACACGAGCAGTACACCTAGAGGCTGTTACCGATTTGACAGCTAAAGGTTTTATTGCGGCGTTCAGGCGATTTACGGCACGAAGAGGTCACTGTCAGGACTTATTCAGTGACAATGGTACCAACTTTGTTGGTGCTGAAAAACACATGCGAGAAATGTTTGACACTGCTAAATCATCACTACCTGAAGAAATAGCCGCTTTGCTTACCTTGGAACGTACAACGTGGCATTTTATACCTCCACATGCACCAAATTTCGGTGGTTTATGGGAGGCAGGTGTACGTAGCACGAAGACACATTTGCGAAAAGTAGTTGGAAACAGTACTCTAACTTATGAGGAAATGGCGACAGTTCTTGCGCAAATTGAGGCGTGTTTAAATTCGCGGCCAATATCTTTAATAAGCAATGATCCCAACGACCCTCTCCCTTTAACACCCGGGCACTTTTTGGTGGGTGAACCATTGTTAAACATAGCTGATGATAATTATTCTAATTATAATATAGTTGGTTTAGATCGATGGCGATTGACGCAAAAAATTGTTAACGATTTTTGGAATAGATGGTATAAAGAGTATTTGGTAAATCTAAACCAGAGGTATAAATGGAATACTAAGTGTACAGAGCCAGAAATTGACGATATTGTAATTTTGAAAGAGGACAACATTCCTCCTGCTAAATGGGTTCTTGGTAGAGTAGTACGTAAATACCCTGGACCCGACGGTATAACTCGCGTTGTGTCTCTTAAATGTAAGGGTGGGGAATTTAAACGTCCAGTTAGTAAAATTTGTGTCATAACAAAATAAAATATTTTATAACTTAATAAGTTTGTCCTCTTTCTTCAATCTTAGTTGTGTTTTAATGTAAGTTATTTTTTTTCTGTTTTTACATGTATGTTTAACATTTACTTTCTTAAACATAGTTTACTTAGCATCGTAATTGTTTTCAATTACTATACTTTAATAATTTACAGGCGTTTTATTGCTTTTTTTTGAAGTGTCATGTGTTTTTTTTTTGTAATAAGTAGAATTTAAGTTATAGCTTTACCCATTAAAATGTGGTAATATTACCAGTGCTAAAAGGAATGTGCGTTTCTATATTCAGTAGTAATTTTATAATTTTTTTGTTAAAGATTAAGGATAGCCATGATTTTATATCAAACTCTTTGAATTTTTTTTTGTTTGTGATTAAAGAACTGTGTTCTTTGGTGGGCGGAATGTTCAGTTTTGAATTTGTTTATTGAGATGTACCGTTAAGTCAATACAGTCCACATATTATAACGCACAGCATTTGTACGACAGTTAGTCAGTCGAGAATAAATGAGCATAAGAAGTAGACGTTGTTTCAATTAAAAATAATCGTTCAAAGTAAAAGCGACCTTATTAACGAAACAGAGACGTGGTCAAATTTACACAAACCAAATATTAATCTGATACATAAACTTATCAAAATTCTTCTAAAGCGACCAGGAATCATTCAACAGCATAGTAAATAAGAGATTGAAGAACATGTGCCCGAGTGAATTTTGTTTTTATAGGAAGAAAGTATGAAAGATTGGAAGGCATTATTCACTTATTTGCCAACATAATTAACACGTGTTACGCAATATATGCAGTTTTCTAATAAAATACAAACTTCTTTAACAGTGTCTAAATACGAAATCTGAATTTTATCATGTAATACACAAGGAGTTTTATATCGACTAAGGTTTAGCATATTGGGCTGCCAATAAACACGATTATAACGATTTACTGGAAATTCATTTTAAAGTAATGTTCAAATATCTACTTCAAAGTATAGGTGTTATGCTTCGCAATCATTAGCGAAAATAGAAAAAAAGAGAGGGGAAAGAGATTCCTTGAAGAAGCCCTACGGGTTAGCTCGCACCATTTGGAGACGCCCACCTGATGGCACGGAACAGTGTGCTAAGGAAGCAAATAAACCAGGAGAAGCAGGCACCTGGCAGGTGGTCGGCGAGCAGCGCGAAGACGCGGAAGACGTCCTCGTACCGCGGCAGGCCGAGCGCGCGCTCCAGCCGCCCGCTGGCCGCGTCCAGCAGCAGCCGCGTCAGCGCGCTCGCCGCGTGGCACGTGTCTGTTCGTGCGCCGTCATTAGATACATGTCGGAGCGGGCCCTAGCGATTCGGTGGAACGGGCGCCTCACCGGCGTAGAGGAGCGAGTCCTTCTCGATGCGGATCTGCAGCGCCCAGGTCCAGAGGTCGATGCAGCGCTGGTAGCGGAAGGCGTCGGCGTAGGCGGCGCCGCGGTACATGAGGCGGAAGAGCGTGTCCTTGTGGTCTGGGCCGAGCACGCGCTCGGCCACGAGCAGCGCCTGCGTGCGCAGCGCGTCCACGTCGGCGGCCAGCGCCTCCAGCTCGGCGGCGGAGCGCCACTCCGCGGCCAGGCCCAGCGCGCGCTGCGGCGGCCGGCGCGGCGCCTTCTCCACGTAGGCGCCGTAGGCGTGGCGCAGCGCGGTGGCGCGCCGCCACGAGGCCAGCGCGGCGGGCGCGTCGTTCAGCTCGTCCAGCTGCGTGGCGCCGAGCAGCTCGTGCGCGTCGGCCAGGCGCGCGGGGCAGTAGCGCACGTGGCGCGCCAGCAGCGCCACCACGGGCGCGGCGCCCTTGAGGCAGGCGGTGCGCAGCGCGTCGTCGCCCGCGCGCGAGGCCAGCCACGGGTCGGCGCCGTGCTGCAGCAGCAGCCGCGCGCTCTCCACGCGGTGCTCCTGGATCGCGTAGTGCAGCGCCGTCTTGTGCTGCATGTCGCACGCGTTCACCTCGGCGCCGTGCTCCAGCAGGTAGGTGCAGAGGCGCACCGACTGCACAGAGTTGATGAGGCAGGTGCCGCCGTTGTGGTTGGGCTTGTGGATGTCGGCGCCGCGCTCCACCAGGAAGCGCACCACCTCGTAGTGCGTCATGAAGCAGGCGCTGCGCACCGGCGTCGAGCCGCTGTCGCTGCCCGCGTCCAGCTCCGCGCCCGCCTCGGCCAGCACGCGCAGCACCTGCGACCTTCACCATTCAATGTCCACATTCGACGACGTGGCAGTTCATAATTAACTCCTTAGTCTCGAGTCCAATGCTTATGCAACTGTGTGTACCGTGAAGGGGTGAGTTATTCGTGTGAAATGTTTACTTTTAGAAGTTTAGCTTCTTTATTCTTCATAGCCTACGGACATGCCCTTTTAAGACCTGAGCTATTAGCTTAATATTTAATAAGTTTAGTTTAATAGCTTTTGTTTTAGTTTAGTTTGATAGCTTATCATTTAATAGGCTTTCTTTCAATTAGATTCACGTAATTGTTTATTGTGCTTGTTACTTAAATAAACTGTTTGTACGTGAACTTTAGAAGTCTCGTTTATTACAAAAGAACCCATAACAAGTTATTTACGTAAAAAACAGAGTATCGATTACGGTGAATGAGGTGACCCCCGAGTTGCCAAACGCCTGAAACACTCTCAATTGCCATTATATTGCAATGCCAAAAAAAGGAAAACTTTAATATATTTTTAAAAAATTATCCTCTATATGTGTGTTCATTTATTGTCGCGGTTGTAACGACACGCTGTATGTATAAGGTACATAGGTCACCCTAAATTTTTTCGAATCGTGCTACTTACATGATCAATATTTAAAAAGTAATTACAATATCTGAAAATGAAACTCTTTGGCTGCAGAATGCAGTTTGTTTCATCTGACTGTCAATTGTTTTTACATTGTAGCGCCATTTTAAAATTGCGTATCTACATAAACATGGATTTAACTCGGGAAAATTAGCGTAGTATGATTTTCTACGAGTTCAATTGTATTTTGACAGTTCATTAGAACCTCGCTTGGCTTCAATCTACTTTTGGCGATGATGCAGCATATATTTTATAGCTGACGAATCTCGCGATGGTCGCCCGTCCACCGCGGTGAACAACAAAAACATCGATGCTGAGCGCTATATGATCGAAACAATTAGGGATGTGGGCTACCATAAGATATCGGGCATTCTTAGTCATAGGCATTAGTCAAACACAATCAATCCTACACAAACATTTGGGTGGGAGAAAGCTATGCTTGCGGTGGATCTCACACATTTGACCGAAGCTCAAAAAACGGTCCGCATCACTTGGTGCAATGCCATTCTAACCAGATGCAACGAAGGGGCGTCAAATTTGGTGTGGGAAATAGTAACCGGTGTGAGACAGTAGTAGTAACGAAACATGGATTTATTGCTACGATCCCAAAACGAAGCAGCAATCGAGCGTGTTTGTCTTTCAAGATGAGCGGAAACCAACCAAAGCAGCACGCGTGAAAAGTGCATGATTGCTTCTTTTATTAATAAAACTGGACACGTGGCTCTAGAGAGTCATCGTCCCGAGATTGGTAACGGTTTCCTGCAAACAAATGGTCGTGCCATTTGTTTGCCGGAAACCGTTTCGAACTGCGTATAATAACCGTAAACGCTATATCATCTTCCTCCCCGATAATTCTAGTTCCCACACGGCCAGATAGTCAAACGAATTTTTGAAGATGAAGAAGTAGAACTTATGCCACTCGGGGTCTCACTATCAGGGGGGAAGGTTTCATGCGCAGGCCAGTCTCCTGCGCCCTGGTTTCCGGCGGCGAATATCCAGGGTAGCAGTTGCTTTCCTTTGTCGGTCTGCGGTTTTCTTTCTGGTGATTACGTCCTGGCAATATGCGAGAATAGCACCCCACGACTTCTCGCTGTCTACTATAGCCCGAACCACGGCAGTCAATGTGACGCAGCTCTCGGCGCTGCTCCGTCCAGGCTGGGCAGTGGCTCCTCCAGTGCGTGTGGAGCCGTCTCTCGGCGCATACGTCACAGTGGTGGCATTCCGCTGTGGGCCGGTGCGGTGCGGTCTAAGCAACTACGTGGTCACCTCGAGGCGGCCCGCCACGGCGGCGCACCAGAGCGGCGTGACGGTGTGCACGGAGCGGTCGTCGGGCACCTCGTACACGCCGCGCTGCTCCAGCTCGGCGGCGCACACGTGGACCAGGTACTCCACGATCTCCACGTTGCCGCGCTTGCACGCCACGAACAGCGGCGCGCACCCGTCGCGCGTGCGCCGGCACACGGCGCGCCGCTCCTCCGGCCGCATCCTGCCACACCACAGCCGAGCGACCGCCCGTGAGCCTCGAGCGATACCAAAGTTCCTTGACCTTGCAGGTCGATTCCATCATAAAATTGTTAGAACATAATATAATAATATTAAACAATGCTGATAAAAAATCATCATTATATTCAAGAATAAATAATAATTTAGTCCAATAATTACAACTCTCAACATTAAAAATTACATGTTGCTTACTAAACTATGTTGTCAGAAGTACTTTGTAAAAGAAAATTACTTAATATTTCCAAAGAAATTAAAAATTTCTATTATATTTTTAACTCAGTTTTTGGACACTTTCTAATGGTTGATAAGAAATGCATCTGCAATCCATCAGGTGTTGTAGATCTCCACTGGTGGCAGATCACTTAACATCAGGTAAACTGTTTGCTCACTTGCCAACTCTTCAAAACAACATTAAAAAAAATATAGATTATAAATTATAAAAATAAATAAATTACAAAGCAGACAATAGTTGACATAATTGGCTGACTTGTATGGTTTCTAATTTTAAAAGAATTTATTGCCTATGACCAATATTGCAGGTTCAGTGTAATACAGAAATGAGAGTTCTCATTTTTTTTTGATTTCCATACAAAAATAATGTGTAATAGTTATAGCAGCACAGCAACAGTTTAACCTTATGCCACAATTTAGGTAAAAAGATGGTACTTGAGTGATCTCCTCCATAGTACTATCGGACAAAGTAATGAGAGCAATTCCTTTGTCTTGCGTGACAAATCAATGAATTTTATGTACTAAAAATAAAGATGTAAGATGACAAGGCACAAAGTAAAACAAGCATGTAGTTTAAAAATAAGCTGGCAATATAAATTATATCTAATTATGGGGCCGATTAACGGCGTAATTGCAAATTGTCGATAAAATAAAAAAAAATATTCAAGAAATAATAACTTTAAAATACCAAGGCATATATGGGATTTAATAAGCAATTGTTACATTTGTGGAGTATGGCATTTACTTTCTTAAAGCTATCTGATTACATATGCACCAGGTTCGATTCTTATAACATACCTTAACGTACCAATTCTTATAAAATACCTTTCAAGAGCCGTACGAAGGCGAGCTGAAAGACGTGCACCAGGAGCACTGTGCTTACATTCCTGCATAAGCTCATTGAAAACAACGTCATGTTGTTTTATATCTAAGTTCTTTCCAGCACCAGCTTCTCCATTGCCATCTTCGCTAGTGTCTTCTTCCCACATATTGAAATCTTGAGATAATACACGCTACGTAGGCAATATAAAGATATCAGCCCTTCAACAAGTACAAATATAATGCACTTAATTAATACTTATTTCTTGCGAACAACAAAACTAAGAATCAATACAGACTACACTGTCGGCACTGTCAAAGTCAATTGCGGCGGATGGCCTTGCTTTGCCATTGTTATTGATTTTATCGCTAACCATAGACATCTTTTTTTTTTGTACTTTGACTTGACCACGGAATAGGAATGTCAAGAAAGTATCGATATATCGATATTTTTGATTCTAAAAATCGATATTTTTAGCCGATAATATAATTGGATTCGATGTATCCATCGAAAAACGATATTCTTCTTTTCAAATTGGAATCCGGCACAGGGTCCGTGAGTGTCAAATATTTAATACTTGTTATACATTTTTGATTTAGCCAAAAGTTTCTAGGACTATATCCGATATCTATCTTCGATAGATCGAAAACTTGTATCAATTTCCCTTATTTGTGTTGTAACATTGTGCTGATTGTGCTTTTTGCCAAATTTCGTGATTCCAGGTCAAGGGGAAGTACCATATAAACTTTCGAAACCTATAGGATAAATTAAATAAATTTACCCTTATCTTTTTATTGTGTTGACTCAGGATCTCGATTTTTATACATCTTCTAGGGACTACAGACCTCAGTCTCTGGTATGAATTTCAACTTGCTAAGAAAATCCACCGATTTTCAGATATATAAAAGTACTCTTTCTCTTTGGTCCGTGATGACAGACAGACGGACAAGAGAGTGATCTTAAAAGGGTTTCTTTTTTCACCATTTAAGGTACGGAACCATAAAAATGTGGTGATTGCATTAAATGGAGTCGTGTGTGCTGATTTTTTGAATTATTAGCGGAGAATAATGAATATGAGGAACATTGAGAAATCGTATCAATTGTGATTGTAAGCTACAATGCTAACGGCAACACTGCTAAAATGGTCTAAAGTCAGTTAGGCCTAATGGGCCTAAAGGACCCGATTCCAGGGCCGTAAAACTAATAATAAAAAAAAGCTCTAAAGTCATTAATAAAAAACATTAAACAAGAGAATTTATTATTTAGATAGATTTATAATAAATAGATTTAGATTACAATGGAAGACGACTATGATGAATTACCCCCGATTTCAGTCAATTATAAAAAAAAGTCAGCGGTGAATTATTTCAGTCGTTTATCATTTTTCTACTGTTTCATCTTTCATTTTATGAATACATTTAAAGTATTAAATGAATATTATAATATTTCTCTGTTTAGAAAAAATTCACAATGCCTCCTGCGGATGTCCTAGCATCCCAACGAGCTCGCGAAGTAGAATGTGAGCGTGAATTGAAGTTACTTCGTGAATCGCACTCCTCGGAGGAATCAGGAATGCAAGATGTCAGATTCATGCGCAGTGATTCTAGCGGATCGGACGGCGAGAGTTCCTTGGCAGCTGCAGTCGATAGTTTGCGCGTACAACATGACAGTCACCCATCACCAACTACATCAGTTACACTGATTGAATTTATATCACAACTCCTCCAACATTTGCCTGAAAATGGTTCTCAGTTTTTAAAAGACTACCTACAAGTATTGCATCAAGGAAATCAAACTACTATAAAAATTGTGACATGTGAGGTAATAGCAATTTACTAAGAGTGGAAATTACTTCCATGTGAATAAACCACTAGTGATGCTTCGACTCACTTGCGACTGCTTAATGAAACAATCATTTTTACAGTAATGTACTCTTTAATAGGTAAACCATGTATGATACTTGTATAACTCTACTTAAAGAGTAGGGTTATATCAAGCTTGAGGAATATGGCTATCCAAAGAGCTCTGCATTTGATGAAGCTTTAATAGTCTATGGACTGAAAGCGAGCTGTTTTTCGATGTTGCAAATGTCCATGATGTTGTCCAAATGTCCATGGGCTGCGGTGATCGCTTATCACCAGGTGACCCACATGCTCGTTTGCCTCCTATTCCCATAAAAAAAAGATATCAGTTATATAAAGATAAAAAGGTGTAATTATAATGTGATGATTAGACATATCATCTTAACTAAATGTTACGCTTAGAAACAATGTGGGGATATTATTGATAGGCATCAAACAGATTTATATACAATAAAACAGGCATTTTATTGTGTATAAATCTGTCTATTTTTTTCAGATGTTGGAAGGAATAGAGGCTGCTGTGCTGAATAATCAAAATGTTTGGGACGGTCCTAGTATAATGTGTTGCAGTGCATGGCTGTGCACAGTGAGTGTGGTTGGTGGAAATGGGCTGGGCTTGCGACTGAGACGGGCTCTACATGCTCTACTGCAGTATGCCACGGATGAACAAGTTTGTACTTAAATATAGTGATTTTGGTTTTTTTTTATTGCTTGTAAGTGTGTAGGCTTCCTCCGTTTTGACACTATTCAGGTATAATGATAGCTAATGCTAACCATTCACTTTTTCACCAAAGGTATACAGGTATAAGACATATGACAAGTGGAAAACTTGTTAATGTGAAACATAAATAGTAAAGAAGAACTTACATTCTTAATGTTAGTCCTTTGTCCGTTTCATTTTATGTCAATTCACACAATATACCTACATAAGTATATAATTTTATTTGTAACTCTGAAACTACTGCTTCTTTCTGCAACCAGGCAACTGAAGTATCACATAGTGAGAAATTTGTAACATTTTTTTAAATCAAGGTTTTTTGCAGGTAGAGGCACTGGGCCGTATAATGTCCGAGACCCTATGTACTCCTGAACTATTATTAGAACTAAGTGACGCAGTCCAAGGGCCGCTTGGTGCACCTAGAAATCTAGCAACCCACCTTGTGCAACTGGCTCTTGACAAGGTGGTTGACATTTTTGTCTATGCACATTGTTTTATGTATATAATCGATCATAACACTATATGGGTTCTTAAGCCTGAAATAAAAGATTTTTATTTTATTTTTATTTTTATTTTTACTATTTTAAAATATAAATGCAATAGTGTTTGTTAGTCTATTCCTGTTCAAAAAAAACGTGACTCTTTCCCTTATATTTTATTAGTTGGAGATGAACCATAGCCTACTTTAAGCCAAGAAAAATGGATTAAATGAATTTAGTGTTAAAATAACATTGGTGTGCAGGAGGAGTGTTTCAGCGTGAGGCTGCGATACACGCTGGTGCAGCTGACGGGGCGGGCGGCGGCGGCCGGGCTGAAGCGGCGGTGGGCGCCCGCGCTCTTGCAACTCCCGCACTCTGCGCCCCGCACAGACCGGCTCAAGGTGCCTTGCTTACTGATCATCCAACTAATTCTAACTATTGTGCAAACCTATTTTGAATGAAATGAAATCAAAGCAAGTACAGTAGGGTCAATTTCAAAGTATGTATAAATGCATACTGTAAAATTTACATATGCATGTCATCATGTAGTAGTCAATATGTCCGACTGCTGCTAATATTATTAAGAGAAAAGAAATTATGAATACATTTTTTAATGATAAAGCTGAAATGATTTTTAAAGCAAGTCTTTTTCTATTTTCAGATGGCTGTTGCCGCATCAAAGTTGCAGCTTCTATTTCATGACAAGAACTGACATTGGATGAAAAATTTATAGGATTTAAATAATACAGACATGTCTCATACCAAATGTTTGTATTGTGATATAAATATGTATAATATTCTTATATACACAAAAGATTTATACCTTTATCAAGTATACTTAATACAATTAATCAAATAACTCGTCCCATAATAAATATTTTAGGAAACATTTTTACACAACATAAGTATTTTTATTAGCTCATTATAACAATCACACACTTTACATGTATTAATAACTAAAAAAAATACATGCTTTCATATCTTTCTATCTCTCAGCTGGACAATATGTAGGTCTTCTCGGCAAGTTTGAACACAATTGTAGAAAGCTAATGCATTTACAGCATCCCCAACATTTTAATAACACTAAAGTGTTGACACATCTAAGTACTTTTCTGCTATTTTGACAACACTGGTTATAGTGCACTTGGCAGATAGTGTCCATTCATAGGGGACTATTTGTAACTCTCTAAAATTAACTTAGAAAGTAGTTTTATTCAAAATTACTTTGCCATGTTGCCATTAAAATAACATGAGATTTCATATTTATCACCTCATCACTAAATAAATAATTAAAATAAAATGAGATTTCATATTTATCATCATTTATCGAAAAAAGACGAGTCCTTTAATAATGTATAAAAATTGAGCGAAGTTTTATGCACCATCATTTTTAAATCTTAAACTATTAACTTAAATTATGTCCAGCCGTGAAGCCATAGGGTGGTGTAGTTGAAAGCGTTGGCCACCAGGCTATAGTTGAGACGTTCGCTTTAGGCGTAGGGCAAGTCGAGGCCGAGCCTGGCGAGCGGCAGGACGAGCGCGGCGCCCACCAGCGGCCGCTCGTACGTGCCGCGAAGCTCCCACCTGTGGGACAACTCATAATTATGTACAAACGACACGAAAAGTATTGATGCTAAATGTATTTTTCTAAATAACTCGTGATTTACGTCGAAACAATAGGAATGGAGTTACATAGAAGTCTGTATTTAGTTTTGCGCACCCCAGCGAGTGCAGCAGCGCGCGCGCCTCCGGCTGCAGCTCGCTGGTGAGCGCCTCGAGCGCCCTCTGGCCGCTCGCCGCCGCCAGCCGGCGCGCCGCCCACAGCAGCGCCCGCCCCGCGCCGCGCCGCCGCCACCTTGCATTATATTGCATTATATTATATTGCGAAGGACACGTGCCGACCCCACCTAGTGTGGTGTATAATTCCATATTCTGGGAGAGTTGCTTTATATACTTTCATAATGTCACCTATGTATAGATTCTAACTTCTAGGTATAATTTAATTTACTGACTGTGGGTGCACGGAGAGTGAATGAAGCCAGAGGGCATCGCCGGGTCCATGGAACTCTGAAACACTCACAGTCCCCACCAACTGGAAAAGTTCAATAAACTTGGAATTGACCAGCCCAATCTGCGATTTATTTTACACATTATAAATAATTAATGTATTGGGACAAACTTTTTCTTTATTAAACTTGTAATAATATATTTATTACAAGTTTTAAAGAAAACATTTGACTCAATCATTGGAACAAATCATTGCAATAAGAATTTCCTAACCAAAAACTGTATCATTACCTTTGCGTAAAAATGAAAATTCTTTATTGATGGAATAAAACTACTTTATGATAAACAGAACAACAGCCCAAGAAAACATGTTACCCATATACCCTGCTTCTGTGTAGTTAATTATTAAATATATACTTTTTAATAATATTAATTACAACATCTATATTCAATATAAAAATTAAAAAGTTTTTTATATGCACCTCTTATAAAAAGTAAATTTGCATCTATGCAAAAATAGCAATAATTCTAGGCTGGTTTCATGTAAAAGGCCATGTAATTATTTTGCGAATGTAAAGCACCTTGGCATGTACATGCTGCGTGGGCTGTGAGACTTGTTGTAGCATTGTGCGTACTGGGACACAGTCTTTGGGAACCTCAAGTCCAAGAGGACCTCGCATCTCTGCAACCACACCAAATTGCTCCTGCTGCATGTTCTGTTAAGGGATGGTTAAATGTTATACATATAAGCAAACTTTGAAGTGATTGGTGATCAGTAGACAAAGGGGTTTGGTGATGAGTACTAGTAGTTAAATCTTATGTAAGATTAAACAAAATAACAAAAAGTTATCCATTATACTTATAATAGAATACTTAGCTTATTTATTTATTTATTTAAAGAACGCCAACATAATGTACACTATTTAAGACTTAGGAGAATAAATATACATCAACTGTTCGTTAGTGTCATTATAATTAAAGGCGCTGACAGCATGCAATATAATGGGCGAGAAAAATACAGTTGAAGATTTTTTTTTTTGTTACAAAATCCAAAATTAAAACATGAATTAATAAATTAAAAACAAATAATTGATAAAGGAAATAACAGTAAAAAACATTAAAAACAGTGATAAACAATGAATTTAGGTTTGATTATGATGATGAACAGTGCAATAAATTTAGGTATGATTTATACATGGACTAATAATACTATTTAGGTTTCAACAAGTAAATGGGGAGATCAGGAAATCTGTTGGACAATAAACCAGGCGAAAACAGTTGAAATGAGTAACAACAATCTGTGATTATTAAAGTAATATAGTATTTTCGGAAAATAATTTTAGCAATTCTTTCTTTAGCTTGGCGGCACTATCTGAAAACAAGTCCGATGTAGAAGTTCTCGAGATGTTATTGTAATTCTTAACCATTCTGTTTAAAGGCGCTTGCTGTCCAAGGTTGGATTTACATGAACAGTTCGAGAAAATATTAAATCTAGAGCGTCGGGGCAGCTTTGAGGGAACGGTAAAGTTTAAAAGGGACAGCAGATAAGGAGCATCAATAATGCCATTAGCAAGCTTTTGCAGGAAGAGAATTTCGAGCATTGCCCTTCTATCGCTCAGAGAACTCATTCCGAAATGTTTCAGTCGATCAGAGTATGACGTAATGGTTTTCCCCAAATTACAAGAGTAAGTCAGGTGCCACAGAAACCTTTTTTGAACGCTTTCCAGTCTTTTCGCGTAAACGTTATATTTAGGATTCCAAACGACGCAACCATACTCTAAGCCACTGCGAACGAGAGCGTTGTACAATAAGATCATGATCTTCGGGCTTTTGAAATCTTTAGTGTTTCGTAGAACGAAACCAAGGCTTCTAAAACCTTTAGAACAAATGTTGTCTATGTGAAGATTAAATCGCATTTTGCTATCGAGCAACACTCCCAAGTCTTTTACATGATCGACCCTTGACAACTCCTGGTTTTTGACGACGTATTTGCAATCCAAATTAGACATTTTTCTGGAAAAGCGCATCACAAAGCACTTAGAGATGTTTAAATCCATCTGATTTTTATCACACCAAGCCTCTAGACGGACAAGGTCTTCTTGTAATAAAGCTGAATCTGAGAAGGTATCAACGATTCTAAAAAACTTCAAATCATCAGCGAATAAATAATAGCTTGTATTAAGGAAGCAGTCACTAATGTCATTTATGAAGACAATGAATAAAAGTGGGCCAAGATGTGATCCCTGTGGGACACCAGAACACACAGTGAAGGGATCAGATCTGTAGCCATTGACTACAACCAGGGATTTACGATGCGACAGATATGATTTGCATCATCCCAATAAGGGTTCGCCGATACCAAACGCAGAGATTTTTCGTGCTAAAATTTGATGAGAGTCTCGATCAAAGGCCTTGCTGAAGTCAGTGTAGACTACTTCCACTGATGAGCGAGAATCAACAATCAGGCTTACGTCGTTAACAAAAGATACCAGGTTAGTTATGGTAGATCTGTTTCTGATAAAGCCATGCTGCCGGCTGTGAATGAAGTGTTTAAAATGCCAAGTCAAAAGAGGATGAAGCAGCTGTTCAAACACTTTAGCAAATACTGGGAGGATAGAAATGGGTCTATAGTTTCGCACATTATCTTTATCGCCATTCTTAAATAATGGGACAATTAGTGCCATCTTCCAATGGGAAGGGAAGGTGCCAGTATTGATGGATTTATTGTAGATGAGGCATAAAGGTCTAGCCAGAACCGTGGCACATTTATTCACAAAAATTGCTGGTAGTCCATCAGATCCAGCACCCTTAGATACATCGAGTCTTTTTAAAACCTTCCAAACCTGATCGTGTCTAAGCTTGATAGAGGTTATGTAATTATTGGTAGATAATGTTTGGGCGTAAGTAGAGGAGCTGGAAACAGGGGTGTCGTGTCTATACATGGATGAAAAGTGATCAGCAAACAGATTGCAAATATCTTTGCCATTCGTAGCTGTGTTATTGTTAAAAGTCATTTGAGCTGGATAGTGGCTAGTCCCTCCTTTTTTGTTTTTTTTTGAATGTCCAGAAAAACTTAGGGTTGGAACGTAGGTTCTGTTCAAGCCCGTTAATGTAATTTTTGTAGCATTGGGTCATTAATTGAACACAACGTTTCCTTGCTAATTCGAAGCAAAGTTTATCAAGAGGATTGTTACTAAACTTTCGTAATTTATTTTTATATTTGAGTTTTTCTTTTCAACATTCGTTTCAAGTTTTGTGAATTTCAGAAGAAATTTCAAAACCAAACGGGATATTTATTCGATTTAGGATGAGACCTGGGAACATGGATTTCGATAATATCTCGAAGGCACTTGTAAAATTCAGCAAGCATGTCATCAACCGTTTTACAAGTTTGAAATAGCTCATTCCAACGTACCTTGCTGAGGTCCATCGTGATCTTATCGTAGTCAGCCTTAAAGAAGCAGTAGCGGGCCGAGAGGTTACGCGGTAAATTATTATTATCGTAGTAAATAGATACAACAAATTCCAGTGGTGGATGCAATGGGTCAACGATGGATAGAGGGCTACTAGTAACACTGAGATTGGATACATTGATGTTGCTCAATACCAAGTCTAAAATTTTACCTTTGTTGTTTAAATTAAAATTGAACTGTTTTAAATTATTCAGCTCTACGAAATCTAAGAGAAGGGTAGAGTAGGTACTATTATTTGCGTCCATGTATGTAGTGGCGTATTTATTGTTTGAACAGTTCCAAGTTATTGATACCAAATTAAAGTCTCCTACAAGCATTACGTTCGGGATATTGTGTTGGTCCAGCACTCTGGTAGAGTTATTAAGGAATTCATCTAAGATATGCCTCTGTATAGGTGGTGGAAGGTAAATTGCACACAAGTAAAGAAGTTCCTTACTACCGGTATTACCGTAACACTCTAATGCTACCCAGAGGTTTTCACACTTAGACTCAAAAGCCTGTAGTCGCATAGAATTAAAGCGTCTTGAGATAGCAATAAGTACACCTCCACCATTTTTTTTTCTCGTGAAATCCACTAGTTTCTCTATCGCGGCTGTAAACAGAATAGCGATTGTCGAACAATTCAGAATCGTAAATACTGTCATTTAACCAGGTTTCACTTAGAATCACAATATCATAATCATTACTGTAGGAATTTAGGATTTCCTAGAACTTGATCTAAAACACTCTTGATATAAGTTAAAAACTGTATTGTCCGAAAATTAATAAACAACTTGATAATGATAGATGAGAACGCGTGACATGCTTGATGACTGACAGCGAACTGAATTTAATGCCGATTATATTAGAACACAACAAAAATGATGAGGCGTGCAATTGACGCCGTTTCGTAATAATTATGTCGAGCGTAGCTCGTACAATTACAAACAATATTATTAAAAAAATCGATTGTCTTAGTTCTTAAGCCCCGTACATTTTGATAGTAAATATTTAACATTAATAACAAAATATATGCAAGCCAAGAAGAAAGTAATGCTCAAAAATTACAGTACACTTCACTCACAACACTCGCGCGCGAGTCGAATGTCTGCCTTCTACTCACTGGCTGACTATTCGGCAACGAACGACCATGTACAAATTCAAAGCGGTTGTATTTTGGGTCCGTGAGGGTAATTGAAATAAACAAGGTTCACGTTGCAAGTTTTTTAATTAACAATTTTTGCGGACCCTCATACTAATTACAACGGTCAAACCATAGTGTGTTTTAATTTACTACTAACGCCACCTATATATTACAAATAAGAAACTAAATATAATACAAAGCTAAAATGAAATAATTGTAGAATTTGTATTTATGTCTATGATAATAAAAGCCTTTTATTAAACTTTATCTAATTTAACTTTATTTAACCAATTTCTGTAAAGTTGCATATAGTAAATTATTTTTTGAAAAATAACGTCATAAAAAAGTTTCACTTCTTACGAGTGTACGCTAGTACACGCACACACGCACACATTTTTTTTATGTGAGGTTCTCTAAGATGTCCCCGTCCTTCACGAAGATAAAGCTCGAACTGTCAGATTTTCTTAGAAACACTTTGCCGTCACGCACCCACACGAATTTGTAATTTAGTTCTCTGGCCTTGTGCCGAGCAGCAGCATGCAGCAATTTTGTCTCCGAAGTGAGATGCTCTGACACAAATACTGGAGTTGTCTTGTCTCCACCAAAACCTAAGTGACCTGTATTTAGCTTATTGTCTTTGTTGTTTTTATTGTACTTAATCACACCAGCTAAGAAAGTGTCACGTAGTCGACGAGAGCCAAATTTTACCAGGATCGAACGTGGCCTAGGACTGCTGGTGTTAAATTTCGCAATGCGATTGCAGTATTGCAGGTCGAAGTCCGTTATTGGACACTTAATTGTGTTAGCGAGTTGATGTACTATGCTATACAAGTTTTCGTTTTTATGTTCGGGTACGCACTGTATTTCTAAATTGTTTGCACGAGATAACTGTTCAAATTGATTCAGGCGATGACCCAGATTTTTGGCAGTGCTCTGTAATAACTCGTTGTCTTTTTGTAGTTTTACAATTGCAGCCCTTTGTGTCTCACACTCACTGGTAATCTTGGACTGTTCTGCAGTGAAGAAGGCTAATGATTGCTCCAAATTGTACAGCTTTGATTTTATCTCCTTCACCTCTGTGTTGAATTTTCGATCTAGCTCTTCTCTAATTATTTCTCGTATAATATCGGCGGATAAGCAAGTACAGGAACGAGAAACACTACGTGGTCCTGAGCGCACAGTAACGTTGTCGTGTTCGTATTGTGATACTACAGAAATATCAGGGTTCTTTGATGTTGAACGAATTGGTGTACTTGAATTATCGCCACGTTTGGGCTCCTTACAACGGCAAGATGGACACACCCAGGTTTCCTTGCCAAGTCTTTAGTCAAACTATTGTAATCCTCTTTTTTGTAATTAATGCAAGTGTAGTGGTAATTGTCTGAGCATCTGCAGCACTTTAAGAACGATATTCCTTTTAAAGTATTAGGGCAACCAGCGCATCTTTGAGTATTCATTATTGAAGGCAATTGTTGTTATTAAATTATGATACCAAATAACTTTACTTATATTTGTGTTCAATTAATTTTATAAAGTAACTGAATAATGAAACGACGTCCATCACACAAAAAGTGTGATGGACGTCGGATGGGATTCGAACTCGGGTACTGCAGTTTGGGGCTCTCGCCTGTCAACTGCGCTATTTATCTTGTTACGTAGACAGTAAATTTTGCTTTTAGTAAAGTCGAGTTTGCATATTGTTGAAAGTAAAGACGGTGCTTATTATTCTAAGACTACCGACTGTATCAAATCCCCAATCTAATTTTACCTTTAGGTACTTAGCTTGTGATTTCTTGTAGACTATTAAAATTAAAATTGTAGCACTTAGTTCACCGCTTTATTCACAAACTGCCTGCAACTAATTCGCTGAATTCGTGAGAGATTCGCAACATTATCATGCACCCGTTTTGACCTTGTTTGTTAGGTAATTGATCAGATTTCGTGTAGTCAACACTTTCACTGCTTTTTTTCACTTATGTTTCACTAACACTGTACTTTTTGAATGAATTTAATGCGTTGTTAAATTTTAATTTTATTTTATGTTCGGAGACAATGTATGTACGTTCAAGTAGCGCCCTCTCGATTCTCCAATAACCAAACAATAGCTTAGATTATTAAGGTTTTTATTGTTTTGTTTTATTACCAAATTTCTGTAAAGTGAACAGACCTATCTACAGTGTGTCGTTACCATCGCGACAATAAATGAACACACGTCTACCACTACTTGCCAATAATCATAAAAAAATATTAACGGTAAAGAAAATCCATAATTAAAAAAAAATATTTTTTAAACAAACTAATTAAGTAAAAAAGAAACAAAATTTGTAACACCTATACAACTCGCGCCACAGCGTCGCATTACAAGCCTCTCCTTCTAACAGTATGTTTTGTCTCTTAAATTCATTCAACCCATTCATATGCTTTGAGACCTTTACAAATGAACTTTATGTTAGTTTTATATGTAAGGGTGTTCTAAAATTGTTTGTTTTGGAAAATTTAATAACTCTGTAAATATTGATGTTTGAAGAATGTAAATGTATAATACAATTTTAAAAATGTATCCTCTATATGTGTGTTCATTTACTGTCGCGTTGGTAACGACCCGCCGTATCATATATTTTTTTACCAATTGTTAATAATGTACTAATTATGGACAGCATTTGATATTTCTGAGTAAATGAACAATGAAAGAATGTCTTAAAACAATTTAGTGTTAAAAAGTTTATTTAATACAAGTTATAGTTTAGTCCACTTCTACTTTACTACACTAGTCATTCTCATTCTGTTTTACCTAGGGTTAGCTGGCAGAGAATGCAGAATAGCATTAAGCTCGCCTTTATACAATTTTAAGTGCATTAGCAAAGATTAAATAAATAAATAAAATCCTTTCCAATCCAAATAGTGAGGTAGTGTTAATATTTAATGTCCACGGCATAATGAACTTTTACTCAAAACATGAATTTTAAATAACTTATAGCATCAAAGTTTTATTTAATGATTTCATTTGTTCAATATTTTAGTAGTAGGTAAAAACATATTTTATTATGATTCTAGAAACGTTATTTATAAAATATGAACAATTTCTTGTACCTTCTTATGTGAAGAAGCAAGGGAGTGGTGAGTAACTGAGACTGCAAGGGCAACAATTGCAGCTGCTGCAGGCACAAGAGTAATGCATGCCACTGGTGAAGCTCCACAGAAAATGAACAGCACAGCACCCACCAACAGAACAGCTTCCAGTGTCAACTGTTTTAGCAAATTTAACAGAGGAATCTCATATCTACTCAGAAATAATCATATAACATAGGAAGACTAGTCTAAAACTTTACTAATCATTAGAATTTACTAGGGAATAGAACTAAGAGAATATAACTAGGCAATAAGCCATATCAGTTTTTTATAACGTTACATTAAGTTTTCTACCTCCTGAAATAAAAAGTAAATAAAAGCGTTCCACTGATGAGATAATAGTCCAATCTGTATCAGTTCTGCACGTTGAGCAGCATCTTCTTCACGGGCTTGTCTGATTATTATTTCACAAGTCATATTTACTTGGATTTTTTTTAATCCAAAGCTTGTACATAATTAGTTCACATATCAACTTCAGAGGCTTTTTCAATAGTAAAACAAACAATTTCCTTGTTCTGTCCCACGAGGGAAAACAAGACTACAATCCACAGAGTACTTTATAATATACTGAAGTGAACCAATAGAGCACGGTAACTTAGAATTTGACATATGGTTTTTTTTTATTTTCATAACTTTTTTTAGGCAAAAGCAAACCGTCTAAGAGGCCAAATAGGAGGAAGAAGATGCAATATTTTCATTTCTGGTTTTATTTGAATGGATTTCATGTAGAATAGACCACAAGTATATTAAAAAAAATTAAAATACTGTAATTTATTGTAAAGAAATGCGATTTCAAATTGATGGTTTAAATTTTCGCGCGACAACGCATCTACAATTGCGATCTCCTGCCTGTCACTTGCCTTACCAACTTGCCATATAATATAATTTGTCTCTCTTTCATGGCATAAGTTTTGACTTTTTAGAAATTTATTATTATTCTTTTAAATAAATACCTCAAAGTACAATAAATAAATAAAATTAACAACAAATAATACAATGAATCAACATCAGGTAATCATAACAATACCACCAATGTTCCGAAAAAAATCCGTGTTGATGCGTGTTTCGTGCCTATGCGTTCATCGGCTTCAACGAATTTCCCAAATAGTTAAAGTGCGAAGAAGGATGTTTTAAGCTCGAAAAAAATTGCAAACCTTTTTTCACATTGAAAGAGAGATCAGAAGACTGCGTGTGTTTGATTTTCCAAAGCCACACGCCTGTGTTGATCATTTATTTAATACCCAATGTAACCTATGCTATGATCATTTGTTTTTCTTGTCAATTTACAATCAGCCTTAATTAAAATTGAATAAAAAAACTGTGTTAAATAAACAGGGTTTTATTTTAAATGTTTAAGAAAATTGAAAAGTATGGTTAAATGTTATTATAAATCTTTTAATTTTGGGAATACAGCATCTACACAGGACTTCATTGCATCCAAAACAGATATGATGCTGCAATCAAATGGCACAAATACACATCTACTTTTTCAAAATTTAGCCTAACTACACAGAAAATTGCAATGTTTTCTTCTGCTGAAATACATTTTAAGCATCTTGCGCCCAAAATTTTTCAAGTTTTGTCCTTCTAGCTATTGCAATAGAAGTAAACTTTCATGGTGCCTCCATAATTTTAATCAGAAGAGAACCAATTATACTTTTGCAGTGAGGAACTTCATAAAGAGTCGAGCCAATGATACTTCCATACCTGTAAAAATAGAAAATGTTTATTTTTTCTTTTATGTCAGACGGTTCAACTGATGTTGTGAATACCGCCGCCCATGAGGGTTCCTGATGCGTTGACATTTGAAAATTAAGGCTCCGGCTACCACACTCACCAGACAAAACGCGAAAATATTATACTTCCACTTTACGCCGGTCTTCTGTGAGGTTGTGGTACTTACCCGGACAAGCCTACCCATTCGTGCAACAGCCGAGGCTGCTGCGTGGCCCTACCACCGTTATACTTTTCACATATAACTTTATGCTATCTATGCATGAAAATTTGTTTTTGTAAATACATAAATTGAGTATATAAATAAAACTATATTACATTCTATATTACCTTAAACCATAATAGGAAAAACACCATGTTAATATGATCAGACGTCATTTTGTTTATCTTCCAAGAAATGATTGTGGAGAGTCCAAGCTTACAACCACGCCTGAACAAAGTTTATGTATGTTTATATTTAGTTGCTATCCTAAAAATATTAGGTATAATATTTTCTTGACAATGTTTTGTTTTAACCACATTTAAAATACCCACCTAAAAATATACAGTTATTGTTTTAGTATATAACATACATTTATTTATTTCTCTAAATAAAAAAGTATGTAAAACTGATACTTGAGAGAAACTGTCAGTGACTGGAATCTGGCGCATTTCTTTGGCTTTTTAAAAAGATTTTCCAGAAGCCCATATAGATAATTTTGATTTCTTCCAATAACATGTGATGGACATAGTCGAAGGCTCCTCAGATGTTCTGTTCAACCATAGCAATAAGGCAGCATGTTTACACCCACCTGGAAAGATATTTTAATCATAATCTGTGCTATAAAACACTAACTATTGTATTTTATAAAAACCTCAATTCTTCACCTTCAGGGGCTGCACAATTTTCGCACTGGCAGGACTGAACCAAGCTTTGCATTTCATTTATAACCATTGTCACACGATAACCACTAAGTACTTCATGCTCCGGAGTAACTCGAGTTTTTACCGTACATGATTCTCCATATCTTTTGATTTGTATATAACCGATAGCGCTGTCGCCACAAAATTGCCTTGTTGCCCTGAAATAACTGCTGAATGTAGAAGCTGCTGAATGAAATATCAAATACAAAGTCTGACTGTGATTTATACATACCGTAACATTTAAATCCCTTTCATTTCTACACTTGAAACCTCTGCACTTTCAACAAA